CCTTGTTTGAAGCTACACTGATCAATGCATTGACCTCTGTCTGGAACTGCATTAACCTTTTTCTTCAGTGAAGAAATTTGAGAGCTCTGCTGTTTTTCTTCTTTAGAAACTTAAACTGAGACACAAAACTTTTTTTTTTTTTTTTTTTTTGGCAGTTTGCTTTATTTCCAGGCTTGTGCTGAGAAGAGTCATGTCTACATCTGCATGTAATATATAAAGCTACAGTTTGTGTAACCCAAAATATAATGTGAAAGAAGGACCATTTAAAATACTTAGACCCAAAGCAAATTTCCATGATTTTCACAAATAAGGCTTGTGAATTAATAAGGTGTATCATTTCATTGTTGTAGCAAACTGGATACATTTAATATTTAAAGAGGGAAACTTATACTTACTTTTTATCCCCCAAATGGACTCTCTCAAGAAAATGCATAAATATTTTGATAGAATCAAATTGAAGAATATGAATATGTAAGTTTTGAAGCCCTCTATAATTACTGAATTCCAGTGGTCTTTTCTGTTTAAATCTAGACATTTCTCTTTAAAATAGTGTGATAGTATTTCTATTACCCAAAAAACTGAAACAATAATAAAGATCAGTTAAATTAGCTATATTTGGTTAACAACATTAAATCTATAGTTTTAAAATTATTTTTATTTACTTTTGTATATTGAATTAAGTTACCTTTCTATTACTGTCATTTAAAGAGCTTAAAGTTTCCATAATTTGGGAGGTGGGTGGATCACCTGAGGTCAGGAGTTCAAGACCAGCCTAGCCAACATGGTGAAACTCTTGTCTCTACTAAAAACACAAAAATTAGCTGGACATGGTGGTGGGTGCCTGTAATCCTAGCTACTCAGGAGGTTGAAGGAGGAGAATTGCTTGAACCCAGGAGGTGGAGATTGCGGTGAGTCACGATGGCACCACTGCACTCCAGCCTGGGCGACAGAGTGACACTCTGTCTCAAAAATAAATAAATAAATAAAATAAAGTTTACATAATTTGAACAGAGAGCAAAACTGGCAATATTATATCAGGAAGAAAATAAGGTCATTTGGATCACTACCATACCACCACTTCTAATTAATTCCGTCCAAAATGCTGCCTCTATTGTATCTGTCAACTATTGCCAGAAATTTTATGTAACAAGCAAGCAAAATGTTAGAGTCATTTAACAACAAGAATTCATTTCTCTCACTTGTAAGTGTGCTGGGTCTGCTCATGTAGGCTGGATTTGCCTGGGCAGCTAGACTATGGCTGTGGGGCTGACTGGGCTTGCTAAGGCAGCTCTTCTCTGTGTGTGCTCAGTCTGGGGGCCATGATGCAGGCAGAGGAAGTTGTTTTCATGGCAGTGACAGGAGCGCAAGAAGCAGATTGGAAGCAAGTGAGGCCTCTCAAGAGCTAAACTTGGAGGAACTGGCACACTGTCCCTATGCCTACATGCCTTTGACTGAAGCAAGTGTGTGGCTGAGATCAAAGGTCAAGGATGTACAAATTATATTTTTGTGAGAGGACCACAAAGTTGCGTGGAAAAGAAAATGAGAAGAGACAATAATAGCTAGCAGCCACAGTGTCCAAGGCAATTTTCCATTACAATCATGGCTATCCAAGGCTCTTTGGTTACAATGGCAGGAGCAGCAGCAGTGACAAGATGATATAAGGTTTGTTGTATGAAAATAGTTCAAATGTTAAAATTAATAATGGCTTAACTAAAAATTTAGAAATCAGTTAGCAATATGCCTAAGATAGTGTTAAGTATTGTTTGTCAATGGGTGTTTTTCTATTAAATGGAGACCACTGGGCCCAGAAGAAGTAAAGGTTACTTTTATTCCCTTGGTCAGCCTGAAATGTCTAGTAACCAGCAAAGTCCTGCAAGAGAAATGCTTCATGTTGGACACTAAAATGTATTCAATTACACATCAATCTCTAAATCGCGAGTATGGTTTTTATTGTTTTATTTAAAGGTATTTCTAAGTTAATTTCATCTGTTTACAGCTGGTTTATCCTTTCACAGCTATATAATCAGACATAAAATGTTTTTAAGGATATTTTTAATAGTAAGTTAGATCTAATAAAGGTTTTTTAGGATATTATTAATGATGTAGGACTTTCTATTTGCATTATTTAATGAAATACACTGACACAGATTCTCATACTTTTTGCCCCACTAATGGACTCCCCCAAGAAATGGTGTTCATTTGCCTGAGAGTATAGTTTAGTTTCAAAAACTTTTCTCAGTGCATATCACTGCAGACCTTTGGAATATTCTCTCCTTCTTTTTCCTCTTCCCATGTAATTTTCAACTATCTCAAATGCCGCATTATTGCACTACTTGCTTATCAAAAAAGATCATGACAAAGTGACCTGACTTTTGTTGAACTAGCAAAGTAGTATATAATATATTTATTCTCAAAATGTGAAACTCATTTTAAAAGGCCAAATTCTGTTTATTTTTTAAAAATTCTTCAGTGAATATTATCTTTAGAAATACATGTGACATTATCTTTAAAAACACATGCAACATAGGGCAGGGTGGGGTGGCTCCTGCCCGTAATCCCAGCACTTTGGGAGGTCAAGGCAGAAGAATCCCTTAAGCCCAGGAGTTCGAAACCAGCCTAGGCAACATGGTGAAACCCTGTCTCTACGAAAAATCCAAAAATTCTCCTGGTATGCTGGCATATGCCTGTAGTTTCAGCTAATCAGGAGGCTGAGGCAGAGGGATCACTTGAGCCAGTAGGTCGAGGCTGCAGTGAGCCGTGATTGCACTACTGCACTCCAGCCTGGGTGACAGAGTGAGACCTTGTCTCAAAAATAAATAAATAAAAATAAAAATACGTGCAACATAAGAAACTAACAATGAAGGCAACTTATTTATAAGTTTCTAGTATCCAATGCAGAATTTTTCATCTCTGAGGAATCTGAGGTTATGTAGCTAAAACCACTAGCTGTCTTTTCAGCTGTGTTATATTCTTAGTACTAATATGACCAGTTTCTGTGTGAGAAACTAAATATATATTCCCACACAATGCACAAATTCTTCCACATTTTTTTTCTGATAAGAATTCTGAAGCAAAATGGTTGTTCATAAGGTCAGAATTCTGTCTTGCTATGATTCATTTGTTCAGGCAGTCAGTGCTTACATTCAGCCATCCTGCACTGATAAGACCACACCCCCTATTAAAATAGAAAAAGACTGTCCTGAGCCCTTGAGAATCCTGCTTTCCTCTCCATGGTTCCCTCAGGACCCTTCAGTTCTGAGACTGAATGTCACCCTGTGGCATTTCAGTGTGTTCTGGCACCTTTTCCCATACTAAGATATAAGGGATCTATGCTGATTTTTCAACGCTTATGCCACACCAATTCTATTTATTTATTTATTTAGAAACGGAGTCTCGCTCTGTCGCCCAGGCTGGAGTGCAGTGGCATGATCTCGGCTCACCGCAAGCTCTGCCTTCTGGGTTCACACCATTCTCCTGCCTCAGCCTCCCGAGTAGCTGGGATTACAGGTGCCTGCCACCACGCCTGGCTAATTTTTTGTCTTTTTAGTAGAGACAGGGTTTCACCCATGCCACACTAATTCTTAAATGTCTTTAATAGCATCTTTGCAGACATAGGGAGAAAATGTTTAGAAATCAATTGGGTCTTAAAAGGAAATAGGAAGAGATAGATTCAATTTCAGGAAGAAGCAAAGTGGTAGTGAGAAAAAACACAGTGAATGTGAGAACTCCCATTGAAGTCAGTGTTCAGTTCACATAAGGCTCTGTCACTGGGTAGTTGTGTGGTTTTGGTAAGAATTTAACCACACACTGAGCCTCAATTTTCTCATCTTTGAAACCAGAATGAGAATACCCATTTTGCATAGGGTAATATTTAAAACAGGAGGTAATATTTAACTGTGTCTGGCCCTATCTTAAGCATTTAAGAAATAATACCATCTATAATCATGGCTGTGCTCAATATAACGGAGCAAGTCGAATTAGCATCTCCAGACTTTGTTCACTTATTTTTAGTTATTAATCTGAATGCAGCTGCTGTAATAAGCACTGATAGCATAGGGTGCTCTGGTTCAGTGCTGAAGAACTTAGCATCCAAGGTTGAACATAAAGAATATCCTATTTATTTCTTCTAACTTGCTACAGGGTGTTGGCACTCTAGTTGTCTGTGGATAAACTTAATATCTTGATTAGTTCTCCTGAGAATGCCTCTGGAAACTGTTATGTGAAGTGGAAGGTGGAAGGCTGGCTAATACCTATGGTGGCTTTGAAATAGTCTGCTGAGGTCTGGTAGCTTGGAATTGTCAGACATTTGTTACCTTGACAACCACAGACAGCACAAGCCTGGGTTTTGAGTGACTTTAGATTCCTTTGCAGTTCCTTCTGGGGATGAATGATTTGTATGTCTAATCAATGAATGGCAAAAACATGTTATTTAATAAGATTAATGAAGCTCACATAAAGCATTCTGTACACTAAGTCCAATGGCATGGCTTCCTAAGAAATGTAGTTAACATTCTTTAGAAATGCAGTTAACATTTCTGGAATGTAGGCCTCAGGGAGAACCAGAGCCTCCTTTAATACGAGGTGAAGCTCTAGGCAGGGGTTACAATGCCACTTTCAGTTGACTCTGCTATATAGTCTCAGAATATGTCCTGAGCCTTATGAGGAAGAACTTTTTCCTCCATTTTCCTTTTATTCTCTTAATTGTTGATGATCTGGATAACACTGGGATGATTTCTAGACCTAAACTTCCTTTTAATAAATCAATCCTGACCATATATTTTTACAAGAGGCTAGGAAACAATGAAAACAAGTGTTTGTTTGTTTGTTTTTGGTATTTTTGTTCTGCTTAAAGAAATTCTGGAATATAATTTTTCTTTCTAGAATGTTTTTCACGTTGTTCTCTGTTCCTGTCACAGTCTGGCCTCATCCTCCAACCTTCATTCCTTTCAATCGGACTCTAACAAACCTCAGTCTATAAACAGAGATCTACTCTCCATGTTTATTTATCATAGTAATTTATTTCTTGGATGTTGTATTGGCAATTTATTGCTATCTAACACACTATCCCAAAACTTAGCAGCTTAAAACAACTGGGGGTGATTATTTCACACAACTTCTGAGAGTCTGGAATCTGGAGTGTCTTATTGGGTGGTCTGGTTCAGTGTCTCTTATGAAGTTGCAGTCACTATCAGTTGGAGCCACAGGCTATAAGACTTGACCAGGACTAGAAGAACCACTTCTAGTTTCACTCATGAGGTTGTTGGCAGAAGTCAGTTCTTTGTTCCATGGCCCTTTCCATAGGACTGTTTTCTCAATATGGCAGCTGGCTTCCCCTAGAATGAGCTGTGGGAGAGACAGCAAGAAGCTTTCTTTTATAATCTGACCTTAGAAATGACTATTACTTATGCTTTCTTCTGTTCACACAGACCAATCCTGATACAATGTGAGAGGGGACTACATAGGAGTGTAAATACGAAAGATAGGTCATGGAGAGGACACATATATTTTCCCTTCTCAGTTTGCCAAAGTGTGGAAACGTAATTACAATGAATGTAAGGTTTTCCTCAACACTTATTCCTGGAGCTGTGTGTGAATCCGTATGTAGTACCAAGTCAAGGTTTGGTTTTTGTTTTCTTGTTTTGTTTTGGAAGAGAGAGGATGTTTAAAACGGCAGGTATATCTGATTTTTGGCATTATTATATAGCCAACTTGAAAACTGATGATAAGTTATCATGGACATTGTTAGTACATCTCTCACTTAATGTTCAGCAGGAATGCCATCTTTCATTCCCCCAAAGTATTAGGATACTCATAAGCTCCCTATATTCCAAATGGAGAGTGGGATGGATCCAGGTCTTCACTGTCCAGTATGATAGCTACTAGCCTTACATGGCTATTGAGTACTGGAAATGCAGTAGTCAGAATTGAAATGCGCTGTGTAATACACATCTATTTTAAAGGCTTTGCCAGAACACAAAGTAAAATATCTGTATTGATTACATACTGAAACAGTGTTTTAGTTATGTTGGCTTAAATAAAATGCAGTATTAAGTTAGTTTAATGTTAGCTGTTTTGTATTTATTTATTTTTTTAAAAAATCTATTGGAAAAAAATTACTTAAATAACTTGCATTGTGGCTTACATTTCTATTGGACAATGTATCTTGGATGGAAGGTAGCAATATAGAGGAAAAGCCTCCCTATCTAATACAGGAGCATGAAGGGCCCTTCACAATTAGATTGTTCTAATAGCAAGAGTATCTCCAACCCAGGAGGACAGAGGATAAGGGATCTGGATATTATCATCTCAAAGAATAGCCTTTAACTGAAACAAGAGAGGACACAAACAAATGGAAAAACATTTTGTGCTCACGGGTAGGAAAAATCAATATCATGAAAATGGCCATACAGCCCAAAGTAATTTATAGGTTCAATGCTAGTCCCATCAAGCTGCCATTGACTTTCTTCACAGAATTAGAAAAACTACTTTAAATTTCATATGGAACCAAAAAAGAGCCCATATAGCCAAGACAATCTTAAGAAAAAAAGAACAAAGCTGGAGGCATCACACTACCTGACTTCAAACTGAACTACAAGGCTACAGTAGCCAAAACAGCATGGTACTGGTACCAAACAGATATATAGACCAGCGAAACAGAGCAGAGGCCTCAGAAATAGCACCACACATCTACAACCATCTGATCTTTGACAAACTTGACAAAAACAAGCAATGGGGAAAGGATACCCTATTTAATAAATGGTATTGGGAAAGCTGGCTAGCCATACACAGAAAACTGAAACTGGGACCCTTCCTTACACCTTATACAAAAGTCAACTCAAGGATCAGGTGCAGTGGCTCATGCCTGTAATCCCAGCACTTTGGGAGGCCGAGGCAGGCAGATCACAAGGTCAGGAGATCAAGACCATCCTGGCTAACACGGTGAAACCCTGTCTGTACTAAAAATACAAAAAATTAGTTGGGCATGGTGGTGGGTGCCTGTAGTCCCAGCTACTTGGGAGGCTGAGGCAGGAGAACGGCGTGAACCCGGGATGGGGAGCTTGCAGTGAGCGGAGATATGCATCAAGCCTGGGTGACAGAGCGAGACTCCATCTAAAAAAAAAAAATCAACTCAAGATGATTTACAGATTTAAATATAAGACCTAAAATCATAAAAATCCTAGAAGAAAACCTAGGCAATACCATTCAGGACATAGGCATGGGCAAAGACTTCATTACTAAAACACCAAAAGCAATTTCAACAAAAGCCAAAATTGACAAATGGGATCTAATTAAACTAAAGAGCTTCTGCACAGCAAAAGAAACTATCACTAGAGTGAACAGGCAGCCTACAGAATGGGAGAAAATTTTTGCAATCTAACCATCTGAAAAAGAGCTAATATCCAGAATCTGTAAGGAAGTTAAAAAGATTTAAAAGAAAAAAAACAACCCCATTAAAAAGTGGGAGAAGGATATGAACTGACACTTTTCAAAAAAAAGACATTTATGTGGCCAACAAACATATGAACAAAAGCTCATCATCACTGATCATTAGAGAAATGCAAATCTAAACCACAATGAGATATCATCTCACCCCAGTTAGAATGGTGATTATTAAAAAGTCAGTAAACAACATGCTAGAGAGGATGTGGAGAAATAGGAACGGTTTTACACTGTTGATAGGAGTGTAAATTAGTTCAACCATTGTGGAAGACAGTGTGGTGATTCCTCAAGGATCTAGAACTAGAAATACCATTTGACCCAGCAATCCCATTACTTGATATATACCCAAAGGATTATAAGTCATTCTGTTATAAAGACCCATGCACACGTATGTTTATTGCAGCACTATTCACAATAGCAAAGACTTGGAACCAAGCCAAATGCCCATCAATGTTAGACTGGATAAAGAAAATGTGGCAAATATACACCATGGAATATTAGGCAGCCATAAAAATGAATGACATCATGTCTTTGCAGGGACATGGATGAAGCTGGAAACCATCATTCTCAGCAAACTAACACAGGAACAGAAAACCAAACACTGCATATTCTCTCTCATAAGTGGGAATTGAACAATGAGAACATATGGACACAGGGAGGGGAACATCACACACCAGGGCTTGCTTGGGGGTTGGGGGGCAAGGGGAGAGATAGCATTAGGAGAAATACCTAATGTAGATGATGAGTTGATGTGTGTAGCAAACCACCATGGCACATGTATCCCTATGTAACAAATCTTCATGTTCTGCACATGTATCCCAGAACTTAAAGTATAATAAACATGAAAAAGAAAAAAAGAATAGCCTTTAACCAAAGATGAACAGAAATTGCCCCTCATGTGCGATTATATATATGTTTTGCACTTTTGTCCAGAAGTGTTCAAGATACGGAGTCGCTGCCAAAATACAGAGTCCCAGTTGCCTGTAGCAGTGACCAGCTGACAACCATATCTTGATTAGATTTTCTTTTCTTCCTACTCCACTATTGGTAATTTCTAGGACCACTTTCCAGACAAACTTCTTTTACATGATCCTACTTACAGGGCCTCCTTGTAGAGAAATCTAATTTAGGACAGAATGTATGAGTGCATGTGTCTGTAAGCAGGAGTGTGGATGCACAAAGACAGAGAAGTAGCCTTATGTATTTCCAGTTAGCATAAGTATTCATGGGTTAACTTGACATAGTGATTTGACAACCATAATTGTTTTCCTTGTATATCTGCTTTCTTGTCCTCTGGTCCTGCATTTGTGTATCACCATTCTATCCTGGTAATATCTTACCTCCTTCCCTCTAAACAGCATCCTCTGGATGGCTGTGTTCACAAAGTCTTACAGTAGCCAAGTTGGGCCAGGTTCTAGAAATATGGGCCATACGTGACAGCCTAAAAGTTTTCCTTTTCACATTTGTTGAAAGGAAAATCAGTTTTCTTCCTCTGAGGATAGCATGAGAATGACACTTTACTTTCCAGCCTCCTCCTATTGTGACAGGTTGATAAGCACTCTATTTTCATCCTCCTGTTTTCTTCCTCATAAATAGGTCTCAATTTATAACCCACGTGTGCAGTTTCATTGAGAAGCAGGGCAGAAGGTGCACTGCCCTATTTTAGCTCAGCAGGGCAAGAGCATTAAGAACAATGAAAGGTCAGAGTTACCTATCACAAATATATCTGAATGATAGCATCAACAAAATCAGAATGAGCTTTTCCAGGAAACAGTGACCTTGTGACATAAAAACTATGCTACCTCATTGTCTAGGTTGCATTAAAACAAGCACAGTAATAATAACAATAGCACCACTTCTCATAAGTAAAGTGCTTTCTGATTTGTAAAACACTTTCATAGATATCTTCTCCTTTGATTCTTTCAACAACATTATAAGAGAAGCAATAGTTGTTGTGGATATGCTGGCAAATTATTTAGCAATGCAATCTTACCTATCTCTTGCACTAGCTAATTTGTATAATCTAGTTTCATGGCATTAAGGACACATCCAGGCCTAGGGGAATTAATAAAACTGTGTACAAAACTTGTTTGATGCATGAACACTCAGTCTTTGCAACATTAATTTCAAATGGACAGTTGGCCAACTCACATGTATTTATTGTCTCAGCTCACTCCACCCCAATCTCTATTTTCTTTATCTTCCTCCCATCCACAAATCATCCATACATGACCCACTTGCTTAATTTCTCCATCAATACATTATTCCTTCCTACTAGCCTGGAGCTTGATTTTAACAGCACTCTTGGTAATGGGCCCATTTGGTTTGGTCCCAGGACTGCCTCCTGGGTATTGTCAATAGTTGGCATCCTTCATAGATTTTTAGTGTAAGCCAAGAACTGATATGCAAATTTCTTTTGTCCCTGTGTTGTTTTACCCACTTCTTTGGAAACAGCATTGATAAAGATGCATTGGGACGGCAGCACTGTCAGAAGATTAAATTTTATGACAGAAAGTGCTAAATAAATGGTCTGTTAAAAGATTGAGTAATTAAAAAAATGTAGACACATTGATATGTCAAGCAAGGTAGAAATTAGTATATCATAAAATGATGTCATGCTATCAAGCAGGATGAGCTCATGAATCTTACCAGAGAATCCAGGCATTGGTCAGCATTTCTAGTGGAAGTGTTTGGTTTATGTTTATGGCAGAGAATTATCCTATAATGTAAGCTTCATAAGAGCATGACTTTGTCCTTGTATCCCACTATGTCACCAGTTCCTAATACAGTATCTGGTACAAAGAGAGCATACACGCAGTTTTTTAATAAATGGATATCACAATGATTAAATAAATTTGTCTTCTAGTTTATAATAATCTCCTTCCTATTCTAAAGCTGCTGGT